AAGTTAATAACTTAGCAACAAAATTGCTATATATTGTATGGCTTTGAATGGGTCACCATCTTGCAAAGTCTGTGAAAACGTAAAGGTAAGCTGCTTTAAAGTTTGTTAAATAATTCATAATGTTATCTCCAATAAATGGGAGGTATATGAGAATGTTCTTAAATTTTGATCAGTGTTCTCCACTGAATATGTATACTAAACCTTAACCTAACAGTCTACTAATACTCTAATAATGCACTTTTTTAATTTCATTCAAAACCCAATAATTCCTGTGTTATTTAAATATATTTAGATTTTACTCACTGTGAAATTTTGGTATATTGGAAAGAGCTGGATTCATAATATTCACCTTATCCCCTCCTTGCTTTTCAGAATGACCTATAAATTAATAAAATATGACTAGAAGGTTTTATTAGTTGTGATGCAGACCTCCCAACTTTGTGCGAGGAGAGGGAAAATATGAAGGGTTATAGAGCGAACAATCTCTCGATAATTAACAGGAGGATAAACAAAACATAAATTTGGATATTGCGTTTATTTGGACTACCACTCAAATATGCGTGAACCACGCAATTTTAATTAAAAGATAAATCTATGTGACACTCTGCCTCAGAGTTAATTATTCAGTGTTGTATAATAAAAATAAAGCCTATTAAACATGCCACACACTGTATTTCTCCATTAACAGTAAAATGAGCATGCATTGGGGACGTTTTAAATTCAGGGGATGCATGTTGAATTGTCTTTTCTGTTTTTCCATCCTTTTCAATGCTGGGTTATTAGACGTTTTTTTTTTTTTTTTTTGGAAATGTAGGACGTGTGTTTGTGCGTGTGCCTGTGTGCGTTTTATCTATATTGCAAATTAACTTGCATTTACATATAGGTGGAATAGAGGAGTACAAATACTCTTCATTTAATGTGGCAAATAATCATGAAGTCCCCGTAACAAACACAAAGTTGTAAATCTATGGCAGATCTTAATATTTGAATGTATTGTCAGTGTTAAAATGAAATGATGGCATGTTTGCATGTGGCCTGTGTTAATGATTTTACACGTCTTAGGGTTGCAGGTGGTGCTCACTACAGTTTATGAAAGCCATTTGATTTCATTTAGTATTATTCATGGCTCTCTGTCTGCCACACATCGTTTTATTTGTTTATTTTTTATCCCTACATTATTTTTTAGTTTCGCTGTCTGTAAGATATAATGGTGGCAAAGAGAGCTTAATCTGCTGTGATTTAAGAAAACACGAGCAATTACAAAAAACACCAACAAATTAAGAAAAGATCTTCATCTGTTTGACAGCACACGTGCGGAAAATCCTTACCTCGCATACACATTAAAAAACATGCTGCATTTTCACACACCGCACACAAATGTATAAAATATGCTGCATTTTCTCACAAAACTATTAAAAAGAAAGTGACAGATGCTGCTGTGCCATGACTATTGCTCAGTGAAGTTGTAGGTGATCATTAAAAGGTAAGATTTTTGTTTGTTTATTTTAACATCGTGATTCCTTTGTCCTTTGTATTTTATTAGCCTAAAGAACCATAACCTAAATAGCCAGGTTCGTCATGTTTTAGGATCCCCTTTAAACATTTCTAATGTGTTCAGTGCTATTTGAAGTGTTGTGAGAAAATTCTGCATGTTTTCGTAAATTATTTGCATTGTGAGAAAATACAGCGTGGTTTTTATTATTTTTTTATGTGTTTGCGGTGTGATGATTTGCAGCATGTGTGCTGTCAAACAAATGAAGAATTTTTTTTACATTTTCTGGCATTTTTTGTAGTTGCACGTGTTTTCTTTAAGAGCCCCTATTATGTGTTTTTGAAAGTGACCTCCTACGCAGTGTGTAACAGCTCTAAGTGAAATATATCTAGCTAAGGCTTAAATCTTAAAGTGTGCCATGTTTAAAACAATTGATTCATCTATAAAAGAGTTGACTCATAGTGGTTTGAATGAATTGTTGCTGTAACAAGTCTTTAGAAGTGTTACCGTGACGTTGATACAGAAGTCAAGCCCCGCCCAGTTGTTGCGCGTGCAGACCCGGGAAAATTGAAACCCTCTGACCTACCCACAAACATGGTAGAAAGAAAAAGAGGAGGACAAACACTGTAGCAGATCCAGGTTAAATCAAGTCATGAAAATGCTGTGCTCTGAAGTGTGAGGGAAAGTTAGTGTTATTTTCCCTACCCAAAAATGAGGCAGTGAACAGTCAGTGGTAGTTTGTTTTTGCAAAAGTACCTTAGCATTATAGCCCCAGCCTTGTACTGTGTTCCTGTCCATTTTTCTGACAAGTGCTATAGCAATCTACACGATTACAATGGGGGATTCGTCGGCTGTTTGTTGAAAGTAGGATCAGAAAAGACTATGGATGATTGGGATTTGTTCAGAGTTGACAGGAACTTTACAGTACACAGTTCATTGATCAGTTTCTTCCTTCATTTCACAAGTGTAAGTGTGATTAAAATGGTTGTATTATGTATTATGTATTTTAATTGTGGTTTGTTACTTGTAACTGCTTGTACTGTATCTTTTTTAACTCTTTATATTCTCATGTCACGTCTAAAGCCACGTTAAATACGTGACGCAAGCCTCATTGTTAACGGATTTAAACACGTTTTTGAGCTCGCGCTCTACTGCCGTTTGTCAGTGCTATGGCCACCGTCAGCTGTTCCTACATGTGAAGTGGTCAAATTTCAAAATAGTTCAGCTTTTGCCATTGTGTGGATTAATACTGAATGTGTGTCATGGTTAAAAATAAAGCAACATGATGGTGTTAACCTGCATTGCTTTAATGCACTTCTGCATTGGGCTCTGTGCACTCTGACTACTTCAAAGTTGTTGATAAGCCATGGTGGGCATTTATTTCTGTCTTGCGCTGAATGCAGTTGACCAAGCACAACAGACTGGCTCATCAGACAAATCAGTGCAGATTAGCATTGTGCTAATCGAATCATGTGGGCGTCATTGGGATAATTAGGTAAAAATAAATGCTTATTATAAGAAAATGAAAGTGTTTTTTGACCTTGCATGCATATCGGTCTCTTGTTGGAGACCACCAAAACCAAAATATGTTCCTTTTTAATGCATAATAGGGGCTCTTTAAATTGCTGCATGTTAAGCTCTCTCGGCCACTGTATGTTATAAGAATACACATAAAAATTATTTTTAAAAATAATGTTGTTTATTTATTTTTCTTTCTTTGTTTGTTTGTGTTAGGGGGCTATGCATTTTATTTTATGCAGAGTTCTTTGCCTAAATTAATTCAGAAGTGTGAACATTCTTCTCAACATTCAAAAAGGGAAGTGTACATTCAACAAACGCACATATTCAAACCACATGCATTAAATCAGTTAAATATAAAACACTTACAGAAACAAGAATGCTTACACCCTGAAAGCATTCCTAATGACCACAGCTTTCAACACTGCTTTAAAGAAAATAAAACAGACACAAATAATCGAGACAAAGTCGTGGTTTTAAGAGGTAGAGGTTTTATTGCGTAAAACATTGGGTGAAACTGTACTGCTTTAAAGACATTAGAACTTCTAAAAAGCAGATCGAAAAAAAAAAAACGACTTCTTGATAGTTCATCAGAACACTTTTTTTTTTTTTGTCAGACAGATGTATGACAATAAATAATGACCAAAATTCCTTAAATACAATAACAAGTCATCTACTTGTTAAAAGCATATTATAAGTAGCAATTTAACCTTCTACCCTTCTCCAAACCTCCTCTGATATAGAAATATTCTTCATTCAGGAATGTTGGACAGTATAATGTTCATGATCACATACTATAGAATATTATAGAGAAAAGAAAGAAAAAGTCTTTTTCACATCCCTAAAAGCACAATATTATAGACATCTAAAATTTGCAAGTGACTGTACTAGAAAAAAAAGACAGTTACAGACTCCTATGGAGAAATAAAGTTTGTTTGTTTTTTATCACAATAGTGTATGTATTTATATTTTTAATAGTATGGAAGATAACATGAACACATTAGCACCTGAAATTATGGAATGGTGGATCACTATACAGAAAAAAATTCAAGAAGTAAAATAAAACAAGTCTTCCAGTGTCACTAAAAGAATTATTGCCTGCTCAAAGCTTCAAATATGATCCAACATGACAAATTTACTAGAAAAATTAAATAAAAAGTGGAGTGGATGAATTGTATTTTTATTTGTTTATTTATCTATATTTTTTAATAACTTTATTTATTCTAATATATTTCAGTTGGAGTGTGCACATTCACATTCACACAAGGATAGCAAGCGATTGACAGTCACCAGAAAACACAGAAGTGCGTTAAAACCTCTAAAGCTCAATGCAGTCACAAAGTATGTCTTTAATTTTATATGCCCCCCCTGCCCTACACACACACACACACACACACACACATTTTAGTAGAGCTAATACAAATAGTTGTATTAAATTTAATTGTATCAACTCGATTTAAGGCAGTGAGAACTATCAAAATAAAAAGAATATGGAAAAAGCTCAGCAACAAAGAACAGACCACAAAAAAAAGTGTTATAGTGAATTAAAGATCAGTTGCTTGGAACCTCTACATTTTCTGTGAACCTGTAAAATCTCCATGCGCCACTTCTAGACCACTTCTATCATTTTTTTCCAACTCCACTTTATCTCTTCTCCTTTTTTTTCTTGAGATGTTGTGGTCTTAGGCCTCTGATAAGGGTTTATGTTTTTATTTACTGCTTAGAGAGGAGTGTGGCGGGTATTTGTGAGTCCTCTAAACTCCTCCCGTCGTGAATAGAGCAGCCGTAAGGCCCCGGGGTTTAAGTGCTGAGCTTCCCTGTGCTGAGCGGGAAGATATTGACTTTCTTAAAGTCTGGATCATTTCTGTTTATCACAAAACATTAATATCCACCCTCCCCCCCTCACCACCACCACCCATGCATCTCTAACCCCCTACCCATACTTATTTACCTTCTAACCCCTGCTAGCCTTCAATAAAAGGAAGTACAATGAAAGTTGATACACTTTATTTTGTTCTTTAAGAGGCTTGGTTTCATGGGATTCAAACTGCCTGTGTTGTTAATCTCTTCTAGTAGAGTAACATTCAGGACAACAGATGCATACAAAAATGGGTCATGGTGATGAGTGATTCAAACTTAGTAGAAAAAAAGGAATGAAAAACGGTCAGAATTGCACAGTTTGGTTTTTTAGGAGGGGGGGAATGAGCGAACAAAACAAACATCACGAATGCCAGCCTGAAGTTTCGATTAAACACAGGAAACATAGAACTGATTATCTATATACTTCATATCTACAGTGGCTTTCTCAAGAGCTCTACCGTATAAAAGGAAGTCCCACTGCGGTCAATAAACCCAACAGAAGTGCTACGCTTCCTTTGTATTATTCACACTTCACAAATAACACATTCATCCTCTTGGTTACATGTGGTCAGTATTTACTCAAAGTCCACCAGTTAGAAGGGAAGTGGACCTTCTTCAATGACAACGACATACTTGTTTATGATTAAGAAGTGCTTAATGCAAAGAAAACACATTTCATGTGTCTGCCATATCACTTTAAGTGATATACATTCTAAAATCTGCACAACAATAAAAATAAAAATCCATGGATTATTATACAATGTTACCTTTTTTTTCCATATTTTATTTTTCACAGGAGAAAGATGAGGACAGGAGGGAATGAGGGAGGCTGATGGGAAGTGCTACTAGTCGTCAGGCAGGTCTGAAGCTGACCCTTCTGCGGCCCGGCTGAACAGGCGACTAAGGTTTCTCTTGACGTGTTCTGAAAGAGTGAGGAGAGGTGGAATGGGAAGAGTGGGGGTGAATAGAAGCAGCGTGGGAGGGGGTTGAATTGATTTCCTCTGTGATGACAGCTCCAGTCAGGCTGGCACCAAACGCCCCAACCCCCCCCACTTCACCATCCACATCCCTCCGTCCGCTCGCTCCATCCCTGCGCGTCAGTGGCGCTGGGCAAATGGCCACTGGTGGTGTCATGTTCTTGAAGGGTGCGCTCAACAGCTTCCCTCAATCTTTCTTTCCCTTCCAACTGTCGCGAAATCGTTGGCGCGGATCGTTTTTCTGATAAAAGCATTATTTTTGGGACAAAAGTCACTCGGAGGAATTTAATGACAGTCTTTTTTTTAAACGTTGTCATTTTTCCTCTTCAGTAATGTCTCTTCAACGCTCAGTCCAGGCAACTCCTATAAGAGCTGCATATTTAGTTTCAGACTCATCAGAAATAGGGTTCAGGTTTCTCTACTTCATCATCTTTATCCTGTGCTTCACAGAACATTACTGAAGCTGAAGGGCTTTGATTATGGGAGTTTGTGAACCCCTAACTTATGGAATGCATGATTCTTTTTGGGGAAAGAGGAATTATTTTGACTAGCTTCATGTGTCTTTTAGAGTGATGCACTGGGAAGGCTTTCACAATGTGGTCACTTGAAGGTCCTAAAAATCCCTGGATCACATTTTCCTTCACTCAACAGAGCGAGGAGTATCACCAGAAACACATTCTGCTGTGCTAGACTGACCTGCAGAGGGATGATGATTCCCTTCCTCTGAGTTCCCGGAGATGTCAGAGTCTATGCGGGAGCGCTTGAAGCGCCGGTCGGGATACTGGCTGTTGTCAAAGGGCATGCGGTGAACGCACAGCACATGGGTCTTCAGGTTTCCTTTCTGAGAGGCGCTGTAGGGGCAGTAGCGACACTGGAATGGCCTCTGACCTCCGTGACCTGGAAATTAAACCAACAGCAATACAATCTTGTTGTTATCAAAATAATTCAACATTGCATGTTGCATTTGTTTACAGTCAACCCAAGATGGAGGTTTAACACCGGGTCTGCCAGAAACGACTAGAAAGGCCATAGCCATAGTTCAAATAAAACTGTGCAGAATTGAATTTTTGTCACATCATATTTACATTCAAGGCTTCAATTGAGATTTTAGCTTTGAATGCATATTATTTAATCCTATAATTATATACAAGTTAGTAGACCACCTCAAATGTGCGTACTTTAATTTGTACAGCTTGTAGGAGAGAAGTTTTTTCACAGCAGAGAAGATGTTGTTTATAAAAGTTTGTAAGAGACTGAAGTAAGCCTGCGTGTCCACCGACGTTTCACGTTTTATTTGCTTTGTGTGTTTTATGCTGAGCTCTCTCATTTTTCTCATGCAACATAAGGGGCCGATCACACCGAACGCACTTTTACATTCCAAAAATGTGAGAAGCACCACACTGCCTTTTTTTTTTTAATTGACAAGAAAAAAGCATGGTTCACTTTTTATGTCACTAGGCAAGGACTGAATCAGCTGAATTAGAGTGCTGCTGTTGATATTGTTATAAATTTAATATTTCATAATATTGTAGTATTCAAGATTTGTGAGTTATGCAACACCGGATAACTTAAAACAGCAACCACAAATCTCTCCTCTCATCAAAAATCTCCGTAGTTGTCTTGAAAACACAAACACTGCAGTCACCTCAACGGAAACCCCGCATCTGCTTTTATTTGATTGGAGAATGAAACAGACACGACTGATGTAAGTTTTTAAACTGCGAGCGCACTGCGTGGAACGGCAAAAAAGCAAGGCATAAGGGGCTCACCACACCGAACGCGCTTCTCCATTCTAAAATCGTGAGGCGCACCACAATTAGGTAAAAGCTTTTTATCTTGCTAGGCAATGACTTAATTAACAGTATATTGTACGCGAGTGTAGCTGTGGATATTGGTATATTTTAATATTTAATAATATATTGATATTCAAGATTTGACTTTTTTTCAATTGTAAACGCACAACACGCAAGGACAAACACATGAGGTGCAGCAGGCGGTAAAAATGCGAGGTGAGCAGGGTGCATAAGCAGTAAAACATTCAACAAAAGGTGCTTCTCAACACAAAAATCGCATTTGGTGTGATTGACCTCTAAGTGCACAGGGTGCAAAACGTCCACGCCTGTTAGTAAATCATTCAAAAAAGGTGCGTCTCAACGCAAAAAGCGTGCTCAGTTTGATCGGCCTCTTAAGTTGTTTTTTTTTTTTTTTCTGCCACAATGTTTATATTAGCAGAAAGTTGCTAGGCAACAGAGTCATGCATATGTGTTGTGCAATTTTAATGAATCAAAAATTAAACATGGGGTGACACGGTGGTGCAGTAGGTAGTGCTGTCGCCTCACAGCAAGAAGGTTGCTGGTTCGAGCCTAGGCTTGGTCAGTTGGTGTTTCTGTGTGGAGTTTGCATGTTCCACCTGCGTTCGAGTGGGTTTCCTCTGGGTGCTCCCGTTTCCACCACAGTCCAAAGACATGCGGTACAGGTGAATTGGGTTGGCTAAATTGTCCGTAATGTATGTGTGAATAAGTGTGTGTGGATGTTTCCCAGAGATAGGTTGTGGCTGGAAGGGCATCCACTGTGTAAAACATATGCTGGATAAGTTGGCGGTGCATTCCGCTGTGGCAACCCCAGATTATTAAAGGGACTAAGCCGAAAAGAAAATGAATGAATGAAAAATGAAACACACACACATTTAGAGCAAAAAATAAAAAATAAACGGTCAAAATGACCACCTCTGTAATTCTAGTGTTAATGGTGGGATTCATCAGTATGAATCAAAAGCATTTGCTCCATCTGACCGTGGACAATCTCCGCTGTTCAGATGAAGACATTTTCTTTGTGCTCAATCCTACAGAACTTTGAAAGTGCTCTTTTCAGCATAGAGCAAGTACAACTGTTTAAGAGATTGGATCTGATCATCGGTGCATTGTACACAATGGCCCTTAATAGCCCACACAAGTCTGTTTGAGGAATGCAGATTACGTGCCTATCATATCTGGCCCTCTTATCAGGCCCATCCACTTAGAGCAAAGCCAGGCACTTTCAGCTACGCGCTACTTTAGAACATTAATAACAGTACATTTGCTCTCCATTTTTCTCAATTCAATTTGAAAAGCACTAAATCAAATTAACATGGCGGTTTAAAATAGCAGCCGCGTTGGTGTGGAGAATGTAAAGCGGGTGCATTAAAGGTGTAGCCGCGACATAACGTGAAAAATGCACGCATCCTCAAAGTACCGTCGCCTGCTTGCGTATGCATGTGTGGCACACACAAAAAGAAGGATTTATACGCACTTTGTGTTTGGTTTTGGAGTCTCAGCGGCTTTCCAGTACTACAATGTCTGCTGAGGCCTCGCTACAAAGGGGATTGCTACAAGTTTTAGAGCTTTCGATGTTCCAGTTGTCTGATAAGGAGCCGGCGAAGCGCAATCCTGGCCGTTTCATTCATACGCATTTTAATTTCACACTCCCTTACATTGTGCTAAGTCTGAGAGGCAGCATATTCTCATGCCACTTTATACTTAGAATGAACTAGTGTCACCAAATGTAAGTCAGCTTTCTTTCCTTTTTCTTCTCCGCTATTTTTCTCTCTATCTCGTCTCTCTTTTCCTGAAGCAGGCAAACGCAGAAGGAGTTGGAAGTTGTCAACGACTGGTCCAACTGGCTAGGAAATGAGGCATTTTTCAATCTCATGCAAAGAGGAAATCTACATATCGTGTGCGTGGGATAAAAAGGAGGAGGAATATGGAGAGGAGAACACCGTGCTCACTGTGGCCATGACAGGACCGCAGGTAAATGATTAACAGGGCTCGGAGAGAAACACAAAAGAAGAAAGCCTATTGACATGTAACCTCCGTCACAGCTCTACGTATTCATCCCAAAAGCTTCCTCCAGTTTCCCATTTCAAAGTGAGATAATACTGCCCCTTCAGGGTGCCTATTTGGTGGTCAAAATAATTGGCAACAATGAATCATATTTGGAGAGGTGTTCTGTGGCAAGGCACATTTTTCTCATATCAAAAAAGAGCACACACATTGAGCCCGCTCTCCAAATGTTTCTCGTAATAGATGCCCGATTACTTTCGAAACTAATTGGGGCAATTTTGGCTTGTTGCTACTAGTTGCTAAATGACAAGGGAAGAAGAGACAGAGCTTGGGATTGTGTGTACAAAGATAACAGTGTGTCATGGTTTGTCAAAGCAGGTGTGTGTTCCTCAAATTCAGCTCTCTCGTTTTGTCACATTCCATCTGTTAAAATGTAACACAATTTTAACATTTCTGTAAATTGAATAGCTAATATTAAATACTAATTCATTATATTCTATAAATCATCATACATATATATGCCATAACGATGCTGAAACGATATACTGTGCAGCCCTTATATATATATAGAGGATATATCATGAATATTGTGTAAAATAGCATTAAAATAAAAAAATGTAATATAATTTTTTTTTTTTTTAAGTTAATGATATATAGTAAGTATGGGACGGCCCAGTGGCGCAGTAGGTAATGCAAGAACAGCAAGAAGGTCGTTGGGTTGCTGGTTCGAACCTCGGCTTAGTTGGCGTTTCTGTGTGGAGTTTGCATGTTCTCTCTGTGCTCGTGTGGGTGTCCTCCGGGTGCTCCGGTTTCCCCTACAGTCCAAAGACATGCTGTGCAGGTGAATTGGGTAGGCTAAATTGCCCGTTGTGTGTGTGTTTCCCAGAGATGGGTTGCGGCATATAGTATATATGAATATAGCAAATATAAGCTTATTTTTCAAACATTAAAACAATATAGCTTTTTTATAATAATACTGTGTTTTTTTATAATAATAATAATATTTTTGTAAATAAAAAAATACAATCATACATTTTTTAACAGTATTTACATAACACACCCACTAAATGTAACCGTGTAATAACAGTACAACTTTTTTTATTAATTATATAATTTTTTATATTATGTTATTATTTTAAACTATACTTTGTATTTATTACTTTAAATTAGACTTATAGTTTGATTGTAATTCCCTTATACTTTGCTGTTATCTGTCAAACTTCTAGGTTTACCCATTTGTCTGCAATACATTTTTAAGTTCTTAATCAATAAAAATATAACATTTAATACACTGTAAAACCTCATTTTCCTTAACACTCAGGTTAAGGAAACTCCAACTATTTGAGTAAACCAATTGCAACAAACCATTTACGTTCAAAAACTAATCCTAATGAGTACTGTAAACTTAATCCATTTGAGTAAATGAAGCAATTTGAGCACAGTAAAACCCAATAAATGAAGAGAACTCAAACCAACTGAGTACTGTAAAACCCTATAAGTTAAGGCAACTCAAACCGTCTGAGGAAACAGATTGCAACAAACCATTTGAGTTAAAAAAATCGAGTACTGTGAATTTGCTCCATTTAAGTTGAAGTAATGAAGTATTTAATTAACTTATTGCCTTCAACACTGAGTTCAAAACTCTTTTCATATGAGTAGAATTAACTTTCAGTCAATTTTGAGTTAACTAGTCTTTTGATAAGACTGATTGTTGGGTTTTACAGTGTATGTTCACTTAAACATTAATATATTTGAATTGGTATAGGTTAGAATAATTATATTGTGTGTATATATGTATATATGTATATACATATATACATATATACATATATTATTAGGCTGACTAACAGGACATTGTTTCTCCTATATTTTTATGTTTTATTTTCATCTGAAACTTCAAAGCAACAATGTAATGCTTTCTTCACCTTAATATGTTTATTATATATTAAATTTGCTAATTTAATTTTACGCAGACACTAAAATCATTGTCATTTCTATTTGACCTGCTTGTGTTTAACGTTTTCTTTTTATATATTCGATAAATCTGACAAAATATCTCAAATAAAAGTCTATATGTGT